AAACGGAGGTACCACTGTACTTGAGAAGTGGTGAGTTCCATCGTGTATGAAAGGTGGTATACAAATCTACTAAATAAACAAATGGTGTGGGGTACAAAATTAACACGTAATATGTGAAATAAGACTGCATGTGGCTTTCTGCAGCACAGTTGTGCTTACCGCTGCCTTGCATGCATCCTCCAACTTTTTCTTGCTCACTTGAGAAATCATACTGTGCTAGGAATCATCAGTAAAGAGCAGGATTCTCTCCTCTATGGCAATAAGCAAAAATGAACAGTATGCTTATGTAAATCCTGGCCATTGTCCCAAAGGCTATGATCATGCAGTGTATGCACACCTGGCTCTTTCCATAAGCTGCTATGGGAGCCTCATTCCCCCAGAATTGTGTGTCCACTGTAAGTACAGTATGCACAATCACTGACATTGATACAAAGTGACACATACAAATATCCAGATGGGTAAACTGTTGTTCACGCAGCCATGAAATTTCATAAAGGTGTTTAAAATATTCACTACTGTTCTCATATCCAAAAGCATAGCCATAAGCCTGCTGACATTTCATGGTTTGTTAATAGAGAACACTTTAAATATAGAAAGGTACACATTACACATTAAAGGCTACACAGAGTCATGCATGAAGTAGATGGCACTCCATAAATGCAAGAAGCTTTTAATGGCTCATACACTAAAACGAAATATTTAAGATTATATGAAAGATCAAAATGTTGCTCGACAAACAAAAGATAAAGCACTGAACTCACAAACAGATGTCTCAATCAAGCCCCCCGCCCCTCAAAAAACCCCTACAAAACCTAGGGGAAACCAAGAATTTCCAAATTAAGCAGACATGGTAATTTCAGAATAAAGCGAATGAGAAAATAATCCAGAAGGATAGGTAATATGTGAGTTTAAAAGTACTATACATCTTACATCCTGTTCATGGTGCACCGCTGCCACATAAACAACAGTGTGTCCATTCATATTTTTCTGTGGGAAACAAGAATTGAGAATATACAGATGTACAGTGTGGTTGGAGGCACATTTACAGAGCAATCTGACATTTTAAATTTCTTGACTTTTGCATGCAAGCCATCACCACAGGGGTTCCCCCCGCCCTATCATCCCCCAAACCCTGAACAGCTTTCAAACATATTTAAAATCAGCTTTCACTTTTTTAAAAATGAGAGGGAAAGACATTTTCTCAAAGTTATTCTGGATGAAAATCTCAACAAGGGTAAGGACAGGGTAAAACACATTTCCTAGACATCACAAACATATTGGTTGGGTACCAGGTAGCCTCCACAGTTAAGAAGCAGAAGTCCTTGTGTCAATTACAACTGCAAAGTGAAAACCAATACAGTGATACCTTGGGTTACAGATGCTTCAGGTTACAAACTCCACTAACCCAGAAATAGTACCTCGGGTTAAGAACTTTGCTTCAGGATGAGAACAGAAATTGTGCTCCGGTGGCGCGGCAGCAGCAGAAGGCCTCATTAAGTAAAGTGGTGCCTCAGGTTAGGAAGAGCTTCAGGTTAAGAACGGACCTCCGGAATGAATTAAGTTCTTAACCCGAGGTACCACTGTACTGGCAGTGCGATCCTCTGCACATCTACCCAGAAGTCCTGTGTGTGGATAGGAATGCAGTCTCACAGCTTACAGCCCTTGCTCTTTGAATGGTCATTACAGGAACTGAGGACTAAACTACAAGTGAGGCTAGGGGAGCTGCATCAGGACCAGTCTATGAGGAGGTTTAATTAAAAAAAAACTCTTTAACCCATACACCAGATCCTGAAAAAATATCCTCCCCCAAGCCACTACAAGCCCTAGGAGTGAAACATCCCCTGGCACCCAATGTTTAGAGCAAGGATAGTCAACATGGAACCCTCCAGATGTTGCTGGACTCCAACTCTCATCAGCCTCAGTCAGCATGACCAATGGTTGGGATTTATAGGAACTTAGTCCCAAACAATATCTAGAAGGCATCTCATGGGCCACTCCTGACTTTGAGCATTATAAAAACAGAAACTGAGGAAGTCTTTTCTCCGGGTAAGTTCCCCAAGTTCAATCGGTCAATTTTGAGGATTACAGAAGGACAACTCAACTAAGCCAAAGTAAGCATAACAGAAATAATAGCATATTGTTTTCCTGTTTTCCCCTGCCTCCATTCCTCCCCCCTTCATTTGTTCTCTCCCTTTTCTCTATTTATAAATCATAAGCCCTTGGAGAAGGGACCTGTCAAAGCTGCTCATTGTAAAGCACTCTGTACATAGATGGTGCTACAGTTTTATGGTATTTGGTTTAAGTGTGGTTATTTGTTCTACATTATCAGTGGAAGTGGTCTACAAACACAAACAAATAAATGAATGCAGTGTACCTTACTAATCTGGCTGCACTACGGGTTACACATTGTGTACATTGTGTGTACATATTTCAGCTGCTATACTGGAGTAAAGAACAAACTGGAACCTTCTCACGAAATGCAAGTGTGCAACTGTGTGCTTATGAATATGTTTTCTTTAATGTTCGAGAAGAAACATGTGGAGGTACAAAACCCATATTTAGGGAAGTGCCTTTTATTAGGCCAACCCAACTGCCCTAATTTTGGATTTTTTAAAATGATGGGACACCACAACAACTTTTACTTTTTCATGTGAAGTTACAGTGCCCAGAGTCCTACAAGAAGAATAACAGTTTTCAGAGGAGAAGAGATAGCAAAACGAACTTCTAAAGTTCAAATACTTCTTAGAAGAGAATGCTGTGGAGCTCAGAACTAGATACATATGGTAAAGGGTCACTAGCCCATTGTGTTCATTTTCACCAGTTATTGGCACTAAAACGACAGCTCACTGGTGCTTAACACCACAGCGGTCATTTGTCTGTGTAGCTGCCATAGCTTGGCAATTAGTTAATTTTAAAAAACCCTTTGCATCATGCTCCTTGCTCAAAATTAACCCACATCTTACAGTATTCATTCCTTGGAGCAAATTCTTTTACATTCCATCAGTTCCAACATACTCCAATAACCTTCTCCTTATAATTCCAACTGTTTCCCATCAAATCTCCTCTGCAGTTTACAAGACTGTCTTTGCAGTTGTTTCATAGCTTTCAGCATAGCTTCGGCTCACTTTTTCCACAATCTTCCCATTCGGGGAAGAACAGCCCTGCTGGATCAAGCCATTGGCCCATCTAGTCCACTATCCTGTTTTCACAGTGGCCAACCAGTTGGCTGTGGGAAGCCAGCAACCAGGAAGTGAGCGCAACGATTCATCTCCACTCCTGCAGCAACTGGCATTTGGAAGCATCCTGCTTCCAACCAGAGCACTGTACCTTCCTTACACTTTAGCACTTTCATTTCTTTACAGTCTCTCATTTATAGCTGCACCCACTCTAGCTTTGCCACCTGTTCAATTATATCCAATTCCATGGAACTTTCTTCTCAGCACCACATGCACTCCCTATTGGAGAACACTTCTCCAATAGCTTCACAATGGTGGGTTGCATCTCAGGGATGGGCATTTGCAACCCTAGACAGCTCCCACCTATCTACTATAATAGTGCAAGGATTGTACTTGTGAAATGTCATCTAACTATCATGTCACTGTTGAAAACTTTAAAGATATGCCGTGCTTCTGTCATCCTGCAATGAGCACTATCGTTCAACCTCTAGATTTTATTATTCTGTAGTAAAACCCCAGTCATTAAGAGGGGGTCTTTTCAGAGATTCCATTTATTGGCATTCTAATTCTGCTTTCTAGACTGTCGTTCTGCAACAGAATATTTCCCTGATCTTTTTTATACAGTACCAGAGTTTATATCCTATTCTGGGCATTAAGACACAAGCTTATACACATTCACTGGGGACTAAGTCCCAGTGAACCTAAAAGGCCTTTGGAGTAAACCTGCATAGGATTGGACTGTAAATTACCTCAGCACAACTGGCATCTTACTCATGCTCTAAGGCACTTCTCTTCAACCTACCCCTTCGGCATCTTGCCACCAATCTAAGGTGCAACGTCACCATATTCATATTGCATATTCTAACTTCTTTTTTTTAAAAAAAAGTAAATGAACTCTCTTGTTGTTAAGAAAAGTAGACCTTGCTTAGACTGTCAAGGAGGCAGACACAAGAGAAAGGAGGAGGAAAAAGTTAGGAAAGCAGAACAGAGACGTAAAACACATTTCAAAGTATTCCTGTAATGCATGCTGGGATTAAAGTCAAGCCCTGGTTGCGAAAAAGGTCGCCTGAGGTTTCCTCCTCTTGTTTTTTTCTGCCTGTGTCAATTTTCTTTTGTACATTATTTTGTGAGCCTTAAAAAGCAGCTGAAAATACTTTAAAATAAATAAAGACTTTACAACAAAAAAACCCCTCTTCCTTTAAGCATTCTATTAATTCCACTAAGCACCACTATCACTCTCTCTGGCCCACATACTGCTTGTTTCCTTTCCTTTGCCTCTCTTACATGGCCTTAAGGTCAACTCTTGTCATTTTCAGTGGTCACTCCCAGCCGCCCCCTTGGCTTCCTTCTGGCGTCTAACTTTCCGCTACTCCTGTTACCCCCAGGGACCCACAAGGCTTCGAGTTCTTCTCCACCAACTTTCCGCGGCCACATATCAAAGTCGCTCTAACTTTTTTCTGCCAGCACCGTGTCCTTCTGTGGCTCACCGGAGCCACAGCGCCAAATACCCTTTTTTCTAAGTAATCCGATCTATATTCCTCACCAAGACAACCGATACGCTCCTAAACCCCCGAGTCTTAAGCCTGTTTCGCAGGTGGATTCGGAAGGAGAAAACTTTGCAGAAACATTCAAGAAGCTTTTTTTTAAAGTCAGCTTAAGCAACAAAATGTAACCAAATGGACCCAAGGCAGCAAAAGTGCCCGCGTCTTCTCTCCCTCCCCCCACGCAGATGACCCCAGACGCTCCTACGAGAAACGTGCGCCCCTATCTAGATCTATGCCGCCTGCTCTAGGTAGACCGATGACGGAGTAAGGTGCCAGTTACCGGAGAGGCCGAGCCGTTTTTGCAGAGCGGTCCCCTGAAGATCCCTTTAATGCCCCGGTAGTGCCCGTTGCTGAGATGCCTGGAGCTGATGACCAGGTAGCACGCCATGCGGGTCCGGGCGGGGTTGAGAACGGGGCAGTGGGTCAGCCCGCCAGCGGACGCCGGATCTGGAGGGGGGCGCGTGGCGGAAGCGGACGGGATCCTCTGCAGCAGCAGCGAGAGCCGCCCAGCGCCGCCGCTCCTCCTGCCCTCGGCGGGAGCAGAGCCCCTCAAGGCGCAGCAGCCGCTACCCGCCCGCCCCCGGTCTCTCGCTCATCCAGCGCCCGGGTTCTCGCTGCCAACAGCAGGCTGTGTCGAAGGAAGCAGCGGCGGCGGCAACAGCAGGAGCAGCAGCCCGAGCGCACTGTAGGGAGCCGGGGAGCCAGTCCACATGCTGCTCCTCTGGGTAGCTCCGCCAAAGAAGAGACGGGGAAAAGATGGAAAGAGCGAGCGCGCAACTTGGCGGGAGGATGGGAGGCGCCGCCGCCGCCGCCGCCGCGCTCCCTCCCCACCCACCACCCCCTTTCTGGACTCGCTCCTCCGCGCTCGCTCTCTTCAGAGCAGGTTCCTATGGAGGCACGAACAGCCAGAGGGGAGGCTCTCGGAAGAAGCAGCAGCAGCGGCTCCCCATCGCTTTTCCTGGCGCCGCGGCGAGGGCTGAAGAGATGGACCCGCCGGCACCACAAAGTCCCTCACACGCCGCTCGCTGCAGGCTGTGCCAAAGCCAGCCAGGGACTCCCGCCGCCTCACCTTTTAGCGCGCGCGAGCTGGCGTGGGAGAGAGCCGCGGGGGGGGGCAGGGAGGAGGAAGGAGGGGACGGAGGGCGCGCGCCAAGCAGCGCTTGATCCCCCTCTGCCCCAATAATGGCCGCCCAGTGGGAATTTGGAAAGGGGCAGCAGGTGGAGGTCGACGGTCCCGCGTTTCTCCTCCTCCCTCCCTCCCTCTCGAGAGAGCGGAGGGGAAAGCAGTCAGGCATTCGCCTCAGTGGAGGAGGCGGGAATCGCTCAGACGTGGCAGCTCCCTGGCCCCCCCCCCCAAAAAATAAACACGCCTTGGGCAGCTCAGGGTCTAGGAAGGAGAGTCACATCCTGCGCCGCTCCACTTCCTCAAGCCACTTCTTGCCGTCCCTAAATTCATTGAGGCGGTGTTGTTTTCCTTGGAGGCTGGGGGGCTTTGAAACGCTCCATATCCACGTCAAAAAGACGGAGCAGCTGTCCTAAGCGGAACGAGATGGAATCCCGCATCTCCCCCAAGACACGCGCGCCACCCCGCCGGCGCCGCCGCCGCCTGGCAATCGCTCCGCTTCTCGTTCCTCTCGCTCCGTTTTCCTCTCACGGGGCCGCCCTCACCATCCCGCGAAAGGCGCCGCCAAGAACTCCCCTTGAATTAGCTTCCCTGCCTCGTCAAGGAGCTTTGCCTCCCGCGTTTCCCTTCAGCTCCGGGCTGAAGGCGCGAAATGCCGGCGCCAGAATAAGGCCCGAGATCCGAAAGGATTAGTGGCAGAAAGAGGCGGGAACGGAAAGGATGGCAAATGCTGGCTGGAACTTCCAACTCTTGCTTCGCGATATAAAACCTCGCTTCGCTTCGTTTAAAAATAAGTTAACAAGCGCATCACAGGGTGTGTTTTTTTGGGGGGGGGGCAGAGAGGGAACTCAACTCTTATGGCAGCCCCCTTCGTCCAGGGATAGTTTGTGCCAAAGCTAAAACCTGTGGGACACTTTTATTACCACATGCCCTCTCCACATTTTTCCTCACAACAACCCTGTGAGGTAGGTTAGGCCGAGTGGTAGGGACTGACTCCAGGTTAGCCAGGGAGCATCATGGCTGATTTCAGGAGGGCCAAGATGGCCCCGTGACCGTGGGTGCCTGGGGCTGCGGGAGTCATGTGGTGGCACCGAAATTTGTGGGGAATTTCTTGGGTGCTCCAGAGAGCTGGCAGCTATGGGTGATTTGAACCTGAAGCTCCCTGAAGTCTGACTCATTATTACACCTGGCTGGTTTTCAAATGCAGGTTGTAACCTATAAACAGCATAAAGAGCCCTGCTGGACCAGACCAAAGGCCTATCTGATCCAACATCCTGTTTACCTCCTCAGAGGCCACCCAGGTGCTGCGTGGCCCACAACCGGAACTTGAGTACAGTAGCCCCTCACTGTCATTCCCAGGCAATGGGCATTCAGAGGCATCCTTGGGACCGGGCTTTTTGAGGGAGCACTTCCTACCACGTGGGCCTGCCCAAACACTTCCTTCTTCATCAGTGATTCTCCTCTGGACCGCCATCTGAAGTTAGGCAGATGGAAATAGGCAGAACATTTTCTTGAGCATGGTGTCCCGCATATGGAATGCCCTCCCCAGAGACGTTTACCTGGTGCTATTTTTGATGTGTTTTGGGCAATAGGCAAAGACTCCCACTTTTGGCCAGGTATGCCAGTACATTTTATAGTTTGGTTGTTGGGGTTTTGAATTTTTATTTTATGGCTTCTGGATTTTACTGTTTTTAGTGAAATCAGCATCTGCAATGTTGCATTATGCTTCTATTCTTCTGTTTTCATGACTCAAAATTGTACACCGTCTCAGGACTTTTATACTAGGGGATGGTTTATAAATTCACCAACTGTTGCTGAAGTTAAACAGGCCCTGACATTGTACACATTCTTTCATATGCTAAACCCCCTTTTTTTTTAAATAGACTTTCTCAGAAGGGAAAGTTGACTCAGACTACAGGCAGTACCTTATTTCTCTTTTGAGAACTGCTTTATCGCTTTTTAACCTGTGGCTATTTTTATTGTTGTATACACCGCTATGAAAGTTTGTAATGTTTAAAGGCCCATAAGCATTCAAAATAAACAAATAACCGTGCAATCCTGCACATGTCTATTCTGAAACAAGTTCCATTTAATTCAATGGGGCTTATTCCCTGTTAAGTAGGCATAGGATTGCAGCCTAAATAAACTGAACACATTTCCCTCATCCTCGAGTAGGTCAGATGTTGGGGGAAATCTCTACAGAGCTGCTTCTACTCAGAATACAGTTAAATGGAGTAATAGTCTAGCTGCATATGTTCATATGGAAAACCTTCCAGATTAGTACATACTGACATTTCTAGACAGACCTGAGCCCAATTTTTATTTCTAGAAGTATTTTTGTTTCTGTTCTGCAATCTTTACTAACCACAAGCCCAAGACCAACCAAATAGAAAGAGCTGAGGAGTAATTCATCTCCCAACAGCATGCAAAACATTTCCCACCAATATTTTCTTCCACATGAGCATGAACCCACAGTAGAAATAAAGCAGAATCTCTAATAATGAAAGGGAAACTAAAAAAATTAGAGGATTTCAGGGATAATCAAGTTCTCAAATAAAATAAAATATCAATTTTTTACTTGTAATGATCATCACATCCACTACCGCCTCCCCACACACCTAATTTCTGGAAGGTAGGTAGGTGCCTGCATATAAGGAGCAATTTACAAGCTAAATAACTGACACAGTTTTGCAAGCATGAAATGCTTCCAACATTAAAGCAGTTGAAAACAGGTTGCTATTTTTCTCCTCTGCAGGGTATACACACCATCAATCTCATTTAGCTTGATATGCAAACTCAGCTTCCTTTCTTCAATACACAAGCAATGTCTCTGCAGCCCTAGTGTAAATACTGCATATATTCAGCTAATTTGGTTAAAGCCCCCACACAGTCTCAGCAATTAACTGGAGGCAACCCATTCTCCCAGATGTGTCTATATAATTATGAAACTACCACCATAAACAAAAATTGCACAGGAACACATCTTTTAACAATCAGAATTAAGCTAAAGTGTGGTTGTACTCTTAGGCCCCCATAACTCCAAACTCCAAACAATTCAAAGTGTTGGTGCTGACTTTTAAAGCCCCAAATGGCCTCAGCCCAGTATACCTGAAGGAGTGTTTCCACTCCCATTGTTCTGCCCGGACACTGAGGGCCAGCTCCAGGGGCCTTCTGGCGGTTCCCTCACTGTGAGATGTGAGGTTACAGGGAACCAGGCAGAGGGCCTTCTTGGTGGTGGTGCTCACCCTGTGGAACGCCTTCCCATCAGATGTCAAGGAAATAAACAACTATCTGACTTTTAGAAGACATCTGAAGGCAGTCCTGTTTAGGGAAGCTTTTAATGTTTGATGTTTTATCGTGTTTTTAATATTCTGTTGGGAGCTGCCCAGAGTGGCTGGGGAAACCCAGCCGGATGGGCGGGGTATAAATAAATTATTATTATTATTATTATTATTATTATTATTATTATTACTACTACTACTGCTACTACTACTACTACTACTACTACTACTACTCCAAAGTATTTTTTAAAAAAGATCATGCTATTTATGCCCTTTGGCTTTAATTTGAGACACACATATCATTCCGGTCATAATCTGTGCCAAAAGTAGCTCACTTACCTCCTGCCTAGAAATATAATTATGGTGAAACTTTTAAGATCAAAGAAGATGAAATGCTTTGTGGAATTATACATGTTACCAGTACCATACATGTAACCTGCCTACTTTTTCCACTGACCTGAATGCTTGAGATGCAAAACTTAAAAGCCCATCCACACCTGCATACTTGCCATTCATAGGTACTCATTCTCTCATAATTATGGTGGTAGGGTTTTAAACATTTTGAAAAATACATACTGTGCATACATCCACCAAGAACTTTGATGCTGCATGTCCTAAGGTATTCATGGGGAACCTTGATGTAGGATTGATATGTAGCTAAGAGAATACAAGATCAGAAGCAAACTTCTCTGTTTACTTAAAGATAGCAATCTTTAAAGATATCAAAAGTGCTATGATTGAATTGGTGTATTTGTTCAAAACCAGACTGCAATTTATTTTTTAAAAGGAAAAGGTTCGGACTATTAAGACCCTTAATTATTACCTTTTCATTTTCCTCTTAATGTAAAGTGGGCATGGTTGATTACCTTTTCAAACTAACACTGGAACAATACTAATAATTCATGCTAAGCATGCCTTGTTCAGTTTTCAGTTTGGGCTCATGTGCAAAAGAGAGAGAGAAAGAATACTGGATATTGTAAGCTATTTTAGCAAGGAGCAGAGTTGATTAAGGCAAGAATGGAAGATACAGATGGGAAGCCAATTCTGCATAGGGAACTCTGCTCCTGGCCTCAGAAAAGCCTCCTCTGGCAATGACCTCATGGGTTATTTATACT